TATTATTATATATTTTAATTACTGTATATTTAATTTACTGTTTATTATATATTTTAAATTACTGCAATTAATTTGTTTATATATTTATTTAATTATTTTAAATTTTTATCTGTATATTTATCTAATTGTTTTTAAGCTTTTATTTATAAATTATAAAATATAGTATTTTATTTATTATAGATTAATATAATAGCTATTCTACTACTCCAGTTCTGCTAGTTCTAAAAGCAGTCCTATAAATAATAATTAAGCTTCCTTCTTAAACTCTTGCTTAGATAGAACTAATAAGACCCAACTTTGTCATCAACTACTCTCAGTGCATTTAGGCACTACATTACAGGTTGAATAGATTGCTTTAATCTAAATATATCTTAAAATAAAAACATAGTTAGAAAGCTATTCCTCCTGTTTATATAAAATCCTTTTATTGTATTAATATTACTAAGCAAGTATTGATAATTAATATATAGTAAATAAGGCCTCAGGTGTTGATTCGGTGCCTGAGGCCAAGCTTTTATATAGGGCCTTGGTCCCATAACAAGTTAACTACTTTAAAAATTCTTTAACTTTTAAAATAATCTGAATTCTTTATATAAACTTCTGGACTTTATATAATCTATTACTAGAAAAAATTTATTAAAAAAATACTATACTAATACAGTATAGTAATTATATTATTTTCCTACTGAGGAAAAAGATCTAATAGTAGTATTAGACTTTAAAGAAGTATAGCAGGAAAAAATAGACTGTAAATAGAGAAACAGATAAGGAGGTGATTATTAATTAGAATGCAGTTTATTGAGGTTACTTGCTCAGAGCACTCAATCTCCTACTCACCCCATGCTCAGTGATCACCTCAGGCTGCTCAGGGCGTGCTCAGATCTACTCAGTAAATAAAAAGCAGCGAAGGGTGAGCACTAAAACAGAAAGAGTAGGCCATCGACCGTCCTAGAAAATCAAGTACGTATGTAAAAAAAAAAAAAAAAAAAAGAAAGAAAGAAGAGGAAAAAATGGAGGAAAGGAAGAAAGAAAGAGAAAATCTACCAAATCATCAATCACGACTCCTGCCGCTATTCAAGTTCACGCTTTCATCAGAAGATAGTAGCTAAGGAAATCAAATGAGGGTTCGTAATATAATGAGTGAAAAGTATTTGCGGTCAAAAAAACGGATATACAATATCAACATTTTCGACGGTCGTTGGTATAAGGCTTTGAATGAATTTAACAAGAATGAAAATAAGAAAAGATTCAGAAAGAATAGAAAGAGGAAAGGAGGGGTGGAAGAAGAAGAATAAGAAGAAGAAAATCTAAAGGAGCGATCTCAATCCCATATAGCGCCGCTGGATAAACAAAGTCAATCAAATAATATCACCAAGAATTTTTACACGCTTTCTATTCTTGCATCTTGGGAGTTTCCGTGTCGATGGCCGTGTTCGCCGTTCATTACACGGGGGGTTCTGGCCATTCTGGATTGGGCGCGATCGTCGGGTGTTAGGCGATCTCCGCGTCGTCCGACGGGGACTATGACTTGCCTTCTACCCTTTGAGACGGAGACGGAGCGAGCGATGGAGATTTCGATGGTCGGGAGGGTCTCTGGTTCTGGTTCCGGCTCTGGGTCGTCGTCTTCGTTGTGGGCGGGGCTTGGTGGGTCGGCTTCATCCTTGTTGGTTTTATCGGAGGTGATTTCATCGATAAGAGGGTTGCGGATGGCGGCAGCTGGGGAAGCTGTGGTTTTATTGTCGTTTGTCGGGGAGGTTGGGGAGAACTTTTTGCTGACGGCGGCGAGGGGCGATAGGATCGGAGACGACGCGGTCGATGCGCTGCTGGCATGCTCAGGAGGTAACTCTTGGGTGTTCAGTGGCGCCAGTTTTGGTCTTGTCTCGGTCGTGGGTGATTTCCTGCTGACCATCTCCCATTCTGGCTCCCCCTTCGGATCAACGTAGGTCTGCACGGGCTTGAGCTTCTGTAGAAGGAGCTTCTCGTCATCTGAGCCGATTGATGTGGTTGAGAGGTATGATGATACTGAGTTCTGGGGCCGATGGCCCATTGTAGGGCTTGCGGATTCGCTGTGGAGCATGACGACAACGTGGCTTTGTTCGTTTGTCGATTCCTCCTGGCGCGACTCTGCTCTCGATGTTTGAAGTCTGGGCACGGCGCAAGGAACCCGCGGTAAGTTTTGACTTCCTAGCACCTTTGACGCTTTACTCTTCTGTGTTGCTGGGAATAGCGATAACCTGGGGGAATTCGAGCGTGTCGGGGTCGGCGAGGTGGCCCGTCGTCGAGGCGGCTGCATCTCTGGTAGATCTTGAGGTTCCTAGGTTACGTTTAATACTTTGAGATCTTTGCAATTGCGAGTTTTGGATGCATTACCTCTAGATTTGGTACACTGGCGTTGCCTAGCGTTTTGCTGCGCCTGTCCATCGGAGAAGGCTCGCCTTGGTTAAGCAGGGCGCTAAACATAACGCTGTATCGCTCCATCTCAACATTTGGGATGTCGACCTGTAGTAAAGGCCCCAGTTGCGATTCGGGTTGTTGGCTCTTTTGAGGAGGTTCATGGGTGGTGCTCTGCTGCTTCTGTTCGGCCGGTTTGGCTTCCGGCTCGAGGCACGGCCATACTTCTGTATTGATGATGGGTCGAGTCTTGGGTTCGCGGGCCTGGTAGTCGACTGAATGCGAAGAACCCTGAATAGGAGCTCCATTACTGCCGGGAACCTGGACCTGGTAGAACGGTTGGTTCACGCCAGAAGCCGCGGCATGTTTCGCCTTGAATAGTCCTCCGATCTTCCTCCATTTACTCGGCTTTCGCTGCAGCTGCGATGGTTTTGAAGTTTCACGCGCAGTGACTAGTGCCTTTTCTTGCATCTGTGCAAAAGTGTTCGGTGTGTCCACCAATCGCGGGCTGCCCAAGGCAATGCCAATGTAGTTTCCCTCGCCATCGTCAGTGTCTGTTGGCGACGGTATTGCTTCAGGAGGGGGCACGGCAATCTGGAAATCAAAGCCGGGACCCGGTGTCTCTACTCTCCTGTCCTGATGGCGCCCTTCCGAGGTTCGAGGGCGCTGAACATCGCAGTGCACTTGCTGCGGCGAGGGGTGGTGACTTGTGCTAACATTCCCGAAACCTTTGAGATCATTCCGCGGTAATGCATCTGGATATTTAAAGACGGGGCTGGAAATTCCTGGTTCCCGCGTGGCACGCGGTCTCCCCATGAAAAGTCCCCTAGCCATTCTGTGTGGTTTCCGACAGAGCGGTGCAATTTTAAGATGTGTGGGAAAGCCAAGATATGAGTTAATTTTGAGAAACAAAGAAATCAAACAAGTAAACGAGTGTCGATGAACGTAAGCGGACAGGCATGAGACTCTATCTCAGCACATAAATTAAAAAAGAATGGACAGCCTTCCAGAAGGCCCTGGCTGGAACAAAATTGACAAATAAAAAAAAGAAAAAGGGAACAAACAAAGAATCAATCCATGATAAAGGAAAAGGAGGGTAAGAATGACGAGGAATTGGGCGTAGTGGAGATTGTCGCAGAGTTATGGATCGATCTAATCAGACACGGGTTGGCCAAGTGTCGCAATTTAATTTTAAGTAGATTGGGTGAAGCGAAGTATTCTCAAACAGACCAACAAAAAGTCTCAGACAGATATTGTCGCCGCTGATCTAAATGGGGCGCTTAAGACAAGAACAACGCAGAGGCGTACAGACTGCTTCCATTGGGTCGTTAATAATCTTGTCTTCGTGCCCCTTGGTTTTCTGATGAGTAGTGTCAGTGTTTTGATGGAGGCGTTGTTTGCCCTGTGCCCTATCACGATGCTTAATTTGCAGAGTGCAAATGAGCATTGAAGATGCGAAATTAAGGAACGTAATCCAAGTCTACTCCACCGAAGTCGCATGATTGGATTGTCAGTCCCGTGCCCTAATCCAAAATTGTGACACTAATTGTCAAAGCGTCTCTGACAAGGAAAGCGGTACTTCTATACAAGTCGAGGGTCCGATTCTAAACTAACCATCCGAACTGGAAATTTAAATAAACAGATGAAAAAAACAATGGATAGAAAATGTTCCAAAATTCAGGGATGAAAAAAGAAAAAGTAAATGGGACGAACCGGGTTCGAACCGATGACCTCTTGATCGCCTGTTATGGCTTAATGGTGAAGTTGAACTTCAGTCAAACGCGCTCCCAGCTGCGCCATCGTCCCATTAGGTATTTAAATTATCCTTTAGTTTGTTCTATTCCAGATGCAGTCTACTGCACAAAGAAATTGTTCCTGGCTTTTATTCTCAACTTCCTATATAAGGAAGGCATTCATTAACCCTTCCCTATAGCCGAACAACAGTGCTACCCGTTTCCTTTCCTTTTACTGTTTTACTCGTCCAATTTTAAAGTTGAATTCCTCACTTCCAAGGATACCCTTGCTTCAATAACCCGCATCCGTACATGCATATATACAAAGGCTCGGCTCCTCCCAGGATCTTGTATCACCTATAAAAACGTCTTTAATTGCCTCATGCGTTGTTTTTGTCCTTTTCATCACAACTTGTTTCTCTTATTCTCTAGCATGGAACCTGCAAATTTGGCTGGTCTTCTTGTCAACTTGTCAGTTGTCATTCTGATTGTTACTGCCGCCTCATCTTGGGTATCTAATCACAATAGATACACCATATTCTATCCCCAAACTAGTCTCATCAATGATTTGAATGAAGTATTCTGCATTCGTTGTGTATTCCCCCAGCCCTATAGGGAACGCCATATGTAACTGCTTACTAACAACAACCGCCCTTATAGCTCAGTGGTAGAGCGCTTCACTGTAAGTTATATTCATAAAAAAAATCAACCACCAGAAGTCACATATTGACTAACAATCCAGCGTAGTGTACCATCAAACGTGCTATGAAGAGGTCCATCGTTCGAACCGGTGTGGGGGCACAACCCTTCTTTTTTTTGTCCTCTTCTATCCTTTCCTTTTCTTAACTCCAATGCTACCCCGCAAACCAGTACTCTGTACATCGCGATTAAATCGGACTTGAAAGTGTCTCAATTAGATTTAATTAGATACTCCGGTCATCAATAACACCGCTCAATCTTATTTCCCAGTTGCAACGAACAATCTATCACCGATATCACCCAAGCCAGGCACAATCATCCCCCGCTCATTACATTTCTCATCTATCGCCCCCGTCCAGAACTCCACCCCCTCAGGCCAAGACTCTGCTGCCCGTTGAATGCCCGCCTCTGAGCCCAACACACTGAGCATAACGACACGCTTCACGCCCCACTCACGTAGAAGATGAATTGCCGCTTCAGCGGTAGCACCCGTCGCAACGATAGGGTCGAGAAGGATAGCGACGTCAGCAGCAGCAGTATTTACGGAAGAGTTATCTTGGCGCTGGTAGGGTAGATTGTTATAGTACTCAACCGGTTGGAGGGTGAACTTCTCGCGGAAGAGACCCAAGTGGTAAATGGGAACCGGCGATGGGAGAAGGTTGTTCATGGCTGATTTACACATCCAATGAGACACAAGCTTATTTAGAGCAGTAGGAGTGGTGAGGTACCTTCAATCATGCCCAATCCTGAACGGAGAATTGGCACCAGAGCGACCTTGGCTGGGTCAATGCCATCAGTCTCATACTCGATTCCCAGCGGAGTTTGGTCCTGCAGAGGCATTTAGCTTCATCAATTAGAGATCAGCAAGGGAACATGTAGCACTACCGTTCCCTGCTTCGTGGTCTTGAGCACTGTAGCAAGAGCTTCCACGCCGAGAATCGTCGCGATCTCATGGACGAGACCCCTGGTTTCCCGGGTAGAGGTTGATTTAGACCGAAGCTGGGATAGCTTGGCTTGAAGACATGGATGTGTAGAGATATGAACGTTTGAAGGGAGAGACATATTGACTAGACTTCTAACTGTGGTATGTGGTTGATTGCTTGCGGGGTGAGTAAAAAGGGAAGCTGAAGCTTTATTGAGGCAAAGAACGGTGAAGAAACAAGAGACCAGTTATACAAAGCAGAAGAAGTGAGGGGTTCGCATTATGTCACCTGCCCAACTATGTGAAATGTCCAGTCAGCGAGAAATAAATTACTGGCCAGAAAAAACATTCCATGTCCCCCCTTCCCCTCTTCTTCACCAGTAATGTAGGTATTAATCTTACACCCTTTTTTTACCTTTCCATGGTATTCACTTTATCTCGATTTTCCCTCATTTCCCCTCATTGTTTATCAGAAAACTGATAAGCTATCAATATCTACCCCTACTTATCAGCCGTCAAATCAACAATTAAATCATTGTTAATCCACTCAAAATACCCACTACAACCATGACCCACTTTTTCGCCGTCCAATCTTTGCCGGGGACCCAATCCTGACTTTTTCTACCTTCTTTTCTTCCCTTGGCAATTTTTTAAAGTCCCATTTTCAAGGCTAGAAAAACAGACATTTTAATATAATGGTGGTTATGTGATTATCAACTTATCTATTTCCGGAGAAAAACATGCAATCCACGGATCTCGGCGAACTAGACATTCACTTGTCCGAGACGCAAGCACCGCCTCCGACCGCAGGGCAAGCTTCGCAACGCCTAAACCTACCATCCGCTGAACTTCCTCCCACCACTGACAAGCTCCCCTATAGTCCCGTTGAACCACCACCAGCACGAAAGGAACACGTCGCAAGCCCCCTTTCCCAACATGCCACGCAATTATTTACCCTCTCCTACCTGGTCTTCTTCTCCATATTTGGGACCCTGGCACGCCTCGGCCTGCAAGCCCTCACAGAATACCCCGGCGCACCCGTAGTCACGGGAGTGCTGTGGGCCAATGTAGGAGGATCGCTACTGATGGGATTCCTTCTAGAGGACAAGAACCTCTTTCGCGAAGAATGGGGTGACGTGGACAACAAGCTCCGACGGACCAATAACGGGACTCCAGGAGACCACTCACCCCAAGATCCAAGTGAGGCAGCGAAACGTCACAAAACAATCAAGAAGACCATCCCCCTGTATATCGGTCTGACCACCGGCTTCTGCGGCTGCTTTACGTCCTTCTCAAGTTTCATCCGCGACACCTTCCTAGCCTTGTCCAATGACCTGTCAGACCCATCAGCCGCTAGCACAGTCTCGCGCAATGGCGGATACAGCTTCATGGCGCTGGTAGCAGTCATAATCACGACAGTAACGCTCAGTCTTGGAGCGCTGATGCTCGGCGCCCATCTCGCGCTCGCCTTGGATTCGCTCACCCCCGTGGTTCCATTCCGCTTCACGCGCCGGTTCCTAGATCCCATATTCGTCCTACTCGGGTGGGGATGCTGGCTGGGCGCGATTCTCCTGTCCATCTGGCCTCCAGACCGCCACGATCGCAGTGCAGAAGTCTGGCGTGGGCGTGCGGTGTTCGCTGTCGTCTTTGCGCCAATCGGTTGTCTCTTCCGCTACTATGTCTCCATGGTCTTGAATTCTAGACTCCCTACCTTCCCACTGGGCACTTTCGCTGCTAATATCGTCGGCACCATTATTCTTGCAATGTGCTTTGACCTGCAGCATGTGGATGGTATCGGGGCCTCTTCGTCTACCGCTGCAGCTAGCTCTTCTGTCTTGACCAGCTGCCAGGTGCTGGCCGGAGTCATGGATGGGTTTTGTGGCTCTGCGACTACGATAAGTACCTGGGTAGCTGAGCTGAATGGGTTAAGTCGTCGCCGGCACGCATATACATATGGAATTGTTAGCGTTGGAGTGGCGCTGGGGTTCTTTGTTGTCATCACAGGCTCCTTGCGGTGGACCCTGGGGTTTGTGGGACCAGTTTGTACATAAAAAGATCATGTATAATGATGGCTTCTATGCCTCGCTAAAAATTAATCTGTAATATACTACGAAGTCCTAGATTGTTCGTTCCTACTTGTGTGAAAAATGGATTCCCCGCTCAAACCAAATTGTATTTTGTGCTAGAATTACTTATAGTACAGGGTACTACAATGCAAAACCATGTGCAAAGCAAAAAGAAAAGTCAAAACCAAGATCAACAATGTAGAAGCAAAAAAAAAAAAAAAAAAAAAAAAAAAAAAAAAAAAAAAAAAAAAAAAAAAAAAAAAAAAAAAAAAAAAAAAAAAAAAAAAAGAATCTGCAAGAACGGAAGAGCAAAATAAAGCAAAGTTGCATCAACAATAAACTAATAAGTAATATGAGGGGGGAGACGAAACGCGAATATCAAACGGCGGGGATGGCATAAACACATAAATTCAGAACAACTCTAACTCACATACATTAAGGCAAAAGCTCAGGAGTAAAAATAGTAGTAAGAAGTATATGAAAACGAGTGACTTGAAGAGAACCTTAGAAGAGGTAAAATGAATATATAACGGACAAGGTATCAATGATCAGAGGACAAATCGGCTGGCAAATTGACCAAAAACGCTGATGCGCAGAAGGGAAGCACTAAGGATTAAGAGTGTAAAGATGAGTATCAAGAAAACAACAACTCCACCGAGTGCTAAAGTGAAGAACACACAGGACCAGCCGGGTGTCGAGATGTTGCCTTGGGTAACTGCCCGTAAAAACAAAAAAATGACCACACCGGACTCCCGTGAGCTCTTGCAAAAAGAAAAGGGAGAAACAAAGCATAACAACGCGAAGCAAGACGTAACAGATGATTAAAAGCAATAAGCAAACGTCAGTTAGGAGACACCAGCAAGAAGCATTATGCGGCGATTCGGGTCATAGCATTGCATAAGCGGAAAACACACTTTGCTGACCATCTTCTTGCTCCTCCCTTCCGACCCTTATTTCCACTATGGATCAAATGCCCTATAATAAGAACAAGAGAAGTAAAATAGAGAAGAAACGATCAGGCCCCAGTTCAGGTACGAAGTGTCAATGCTGACACCGCGCTAAGGGCCGGTAAGGTGATCAAGTATAGAAGATGATCAGCTTTTATGTGAATATCCAAACGACGTACTAAAGATTTTAGTACGCTGTGCCAACACTGGCAAGTGTTTTGGTTGGCATAGAGTGAAATGGTTGGTCCTTGGAGACACGCAATGAGTCTTCGTAGCCAACCAAAGCTTGTGAATGAAGTTTGAAAGACTCGCCCATGAGTTTGGTAATTCTATTTGCTGTTAGTATCTTCTTACTGACTTGCTGGGAATCACGATGAACTTACCCCCATACTACCACGCCGTCTAGGATGTTACCCCATACACGGGCCACGGTGGAGCT